CCCCCTGGCATGGTTTGTCCCCCCAAATGCCCCCTGCTTCGGGCCTCCCCTGGGAAGGGCAGCTGGATCTCATCCAACAGCAGCGAGTGCAACCCCCAGAATATCCATTTTCAGTTATTTCCTACTGTGTGCAGTGCTGAGTAGCTGATTCTTCAGTTTAGGATGTGCTAAGGGGTGGCCTTACACAGATTTAATGGTGGTTTATGGTTGTGAGGCTAGGGAGAGGGTCTGGGTGCAAAGACACTTGATCGATTCGCGATGTTTTGGAGCTGGGTTTCCTCTTTGTTTTACAGCTGGTAAGCGGCCATGCTGAATTTGGGGTTTAAATCCTATCCAGAGTCTCTTGCTCTGCTTCTGTCATTTCAGCCAAAAGCACATAGACAAATTATTGATTTTGCAATTGCTAACTAGAGATGGGAGCGATGCTGGAGTCAGGGGAGTTTCTGCACTGGGAAAGGAAAGACCAAACCATGCTGCTGAGCTATCAAGAAAAATAATGATTAACCCTCCACCGTGGCGGAGCCGTTTGCAAATGTGTGTTTCACCAGGCTCAGAATCGCCCTGCCTTCCCTCACGTGGGAGTAACGAGCCGAGAAAGTCAGTTGTCTGTATGTACACAAAAAAATTCATATTCCTGCTCCTGGCAGTAAGCTGCCCTGCGCCTTGTATTGCTGCTAAGTGCCCCCGCACACCCTGGCTGAGCACCTAAAGCAGCATTCCCACTGGAAAAAATCTCCTGTTTAACCTCATGGCAACACTCTGCTAAAGAATACGAAGGGAATAGCCCAGCAACCCAACCGATATTGCATTTACCTTTTCTTCCCACCCATCTCAAGGCATCTCATCAGGGTTGTCACGTCCCTTGCACGGTGACACAGAACTGAGGCAGGGAGCAGATAAAGGACCTTCCCGGTGTGAAAAGCTCTTCCACAGCCGCAGGGCTCTGAACAGCCCAGTCTCTTATTCCTAAGGATCCACCATTTAAGCCTCCAATTAGAGCACAATGCAGGGGGAGAAATTCTGCCAATTCCATAAAAACTACAGGACTAGTTAATAAAAACGTCCCAACCGAGGCCCCCCCAGCTCCCCGGGGAAGCCAGACATCTACGATTTCATTTTGCACCAGTTTTGTGTCTGCTCCACCTCCCTGAGAAGTCAATAGGAAAATTGGCATGTGTTTCGACGGGAGGTGGAACGGGTCCTCACCGAAGAGATTGAAGAGGCAAAATAGCTGTGCGTGGGGAAGGGAAGGAAGGGAAGGCAGCTGCCAGCATGGTCGGGGGGGTAGGAAGGGCAGCAGCTGCTGCTGTTGCCTTTCTTGTAGCATCCCACTCCTCCTCCCCTAGGAGACCTCACCAGAGCGGTGAAAGCATATGTCCATCGCAGACAAGTGCTGCGACGCCAGCCAGAAACACGGGGTTTTTTTTGTCTTCCACCCTTTCTTTCCCCCTGTCTCCAGACTCCCCGAACCCAACCTCAAACAGAGAAAAGAATTATGGCCGTGGTGCAACCTTTTCTAGAAACTGCAGCGAGCCAAAGGACTTGCAGCAATTCCCATTATAAATAATATCAGCATCCCCGCTGGGCCATGACAGTCAAGGATTGTTCCAAGGGCGCCCTGCCAAGCAGTGAAGGGACTTCTTCAGAAACAGCGAAGCACGCTGGTGCTACCACTAGAAAACTCGCAGGGCTGAGTGCTCGGAGGAAAAGGCGAGCGCCAGGCAAACACTGGGAGCATTCCTCTGATTGCACTGGAAAATTTCTCTTGGCTTGGTTTGCCTTTGTGTTGCATGACAATGGGGGTTTTTTTGCAAATAACCTGATCAATGAGCTAATGGGCAGGAACCAGCGGCTTTTAAGGGAATGCACTAATGAGTGAATTCCCCAGTATTCAGACTGTGGCCGTACAAACCCTATTTAGCCTGGACAGTGACCTGGCAACCATACACATTTCATCAGGACACTCATTTTGAATTGTTTTACAAGAATCTTTCGCAATTAGAGCCATAACCCCAGAGTCCTCCTTCTGCTGGAGAGGACGTCCCCGCACCGCCTGCGGCTCGACTCGAAGCAGCTTGGTCATCAGATTGCAAATTCTGGCACAGACCGAGAGGCAAACTAAGGCTCGTCCACAAATAATTTGTACTAAAAGAGAAGAATGCTGATTCTCAGGCAATTCACAATTGGGAACGGTGACATTATATCTCAAATATATTCATTGCTACATATCAGTGACCCTGGTGTATTTGAGACTGTTCTCTTCTGGCTGGCCATCCTTTCAACAGCCACGCAAAGACTTTTTCAAACCAGTTGATAAAAGCTTTTACCTTACTGGTCTGTGGGTAAAGAACTAGTTTTCTAACTCTCTTTTATTTATTTCTTTTGGTTTTGAAGTTTTACCATGCGTGTGACGGTCCTGGCTTATCAGTGCTGTGCTTCATGCGCTACGATATCCTGGAGTACTTCAGCATCTACGGAACAGCTCTGTCCATCTGGGTGTCCCTGATGGGTAAGCACTGGTCTCTCGTGGTGCCTCCAGAGCACCAGCGTTTGCAGGTCGGGCAGGATTTGCCAGCATCACTGGTGAGACAGCTAGTGGGTACAGTCCCCAGAAATGCTGTTGCCTTTGAGCTCCCATCAGCAAGGCTCAGCTCTGAGACTGGCTTATGGAGTCAGCCTGTGCTATGGTTTAATCCATTTTTATCTCGTCCATGCCTTGGAAAGTCATTGCTCTCTTGGGGTCCAGACACACAAGAAAACTGTCCTGAGTGGTGGCTGGGGAAGTTTTTCCCTTGGAGATAAACAGAGCTCTGGCGCCTGGTGTTTGTGTAAGTTGGGTGTCCCTCTGCCTTCACCAGCTCTTATGCATGTCCTTACAGCAGGAGAATTATTTATTTCAAATTGGCAAGTGACAGATGCAGCCTTATGCTTTAGTTCAAAGCAGGACAGTACTATGAGATGACTGAGTCTGAAACCTCGTATGTCAGGGGTTCTCCCATTTCTCCTTATTTTCCCCATATACTGAGCCCATTAATTTGTTCTGTCCTGGCTTGGGGGCATTAAGAAATGCAGAAGCTGCCACTTCCCTGGGTAGTGTGCAAATCAAAGTGGCTTAGTCAAAACAAATTATCTTCCTAGCTTATCGAAAGGCCAGTCTGGGCTGACGGGAAATATTAGACTACTTAGAAAAAGCAGAAATACATTTCACTTCCTTTTTAAAAAAAATCCTGACCCTTGCTGCGTTACTCAGTTTTCCTTTTCCTACATTCCCTTCGCTCTCGTTTTTTTCTCATTTTGTTCCTCATTTGCCACTGAAACAAGGTATAATACAAAATAACAAGAACAACAACAACAAAAAAGACAGAACTAAAGAAGTATGAAAACTTCAAACCAATTATTTTCCCCAGTTTGTTAACATGTTTTTTGGAAGGATGTATTTCTGATGGGAGCAGAGAGTAGGGTAAGGGGAGAGAGATGAGGGGACAGTCACTTTGCAACAGCAATGGCTTTACTCAACAGATTTGGACCATCTCTAGCAGCTGCACACCCAGTCCCCTCTCCAGCCAGGCAGGGTCCCCAGCCCTCCCGATGGGGACTTGGGGTCACCATGCTGATGCACAGCCCCAAAACTCTCACAAGACTTTCCCCTTTGCCCCTCGGGGCTCCAGGGATGGTGCAGGACCTCTGCCCCGTATGGGGGAGATCCTGCAGCCCCTGAGCCCAGCACAAGCCGTGGGGCAGCTCCCCCTCCACCGGGCACAGGTCCATCCCTCCTCCCTTCACTGCAGACAGCAGCATCCCCCTCCCATGGAAAAATAAGTGGGAAAAAAATTAACCTTAGAAATGGCTCTGTTCCCCCAAGGTGTGAGCCCCAGAGTGGGGTCCCGCACTGTCCACGGCACTTTAGTGTTCTCTGCTCAGCTAGAAAAGGCAATGAAGCAAATCATCTCCGAAGGGCATTTTCAGCAGATAACAGCAGTGTCAGGGTAGGTCAGAGCTGATCCAGACACTTAAAATAAGTGGGAAAAAAATTAACCTTAGAAATGGCTCTGTTCCCCCAAGGTGTGAGCCCCAGAGTGGGGTCCCGCACTGTCCACGGCACTTTAGTGTTCTCTGCTCAGCTAGAAAAGGCAATGAAGCAAATCATCTCCGAAGGGCATTTTCAGCAGATAACAGCAGTGTCAGGGTAGGTCAGAGCTGATCCAGACACTTTGGCTCCTTGCAGCAAAATTCAACTTGATTGCTTCATTGCTGCATTCAAAACCCTTGCAAAAAAAAAAAAAAAAATGCAAATCCTGGACTACAATGTTTAAAATATTGACCCCCAGGGAAACAACATAGATTAAAATGCGGACATTATCCCTTAGCCAAACTCCCTATAAAACCACGATCCAAGGACATGGAAGGTATGGTGACTGAAGCCCAGGGAAGCCTCTCGCTGTGGCTTGTAAAGCCCGAGCGCACATGTGCGGACGCAGACCCTCGGGCACACTTCCCGGAATGCAAATCCAGGACAGCCATAACACAGCTGTGCGAGCTGGAAAAGCATGGAGCCCACTGGGATCCATAACTTTTATCAGTTATTACCCCATTCTGTGCTAAACAAAAGCCTCTAATAATTTACTCGCACTGGCGACTTCCAGCTTGCAAACCTCAGGCAGGTGCCGGCACGGCCGGGCAGCCCAGTCCCCATCACACCGGCGAGCATGGTCCTACTGGAGTGGGGTGATGTGGGCTGTATCGGTGTGAGCCAGCAAGTTTGGGGGGGTTGGAGATGTAGGATGAAGCCAAGAGCCGATTGCAGGCTCACTGGACGCGAGCGTCTTTGCAACTGTCTCCGACATCTGGGTCAAGGCAGGAAAGGGGAATACGGGTGGGAAATCTTTAAATTCCACATGCAACATTGAACATAAGACCTCTAAAATCAGCTTCTAGACCCACCACTCAGCTGCCTCGGGATGGTTTTGCTTTGCCCCTGCGTGCCTCAGTTTCCCCAGCTGTGTGGCATAAGAAGGGCAAACCAGACCGGGACAAAACGCTGAGGGTCCCTGGGGCAGGCAGGACAGACCCCAGTAAGGCTTTAGGGAAGCAGCTGAGGAAGGGGGTGGGTGAACTCATGCTCCCTGTGCTCGGTGCCGTGCAGCCCTGGCAGAGTTTGACGAGCCGAAGAGATCGACCTTCGTCATGTTCGGCGTCCTCACCATCGCTGTGAGGATCTACCACGACCGCTGGGGCTACGGTGTCTACTCGGGACCCATCGGGACGGCCGTCCTTGTGATAACCGTGAAATGGGTATGTAGGGAAGGGCAGCATGCCGGGGCTTGGCAGGATGCTCGCGGTGGGGAAGGGGCTGAGCCCTGCACAGAGGGGTCCGACCTGGGCCAGCGGTTTCCTCCATGAGGTCCAGCTCTCACCACACAGGCCATCCCGGTGATTAAACAGCACTTCTCCTTCAACTCGGGCAGCAAGCAGGCAGACAGCAAGCAGCCTCTGTGATAAACGCCAGATTCAATCAGTCTGAGCAATCTACCACATCTCCTGTCCCTGCGTTTCTAATCAGGAGGAACGTATTTATGGAGTTTTTACAGCTACTCAGAGGCAGAGGGGTCTGGTAAACTGCCCTGGAGCTGGTGGAAGATGTGCATGAAACACGGTGATAAAGTGGGAAGGAATCTGCCTGTAGTCAGCCTGAATCTGGCTGGAACAGTCGGGCACCATGCCGCAACCTGTGCCCCGCACACGGCAGATGCTGCGGACCCAGGCGGGAGTGCGGTGGTGGAGCCACTGGCAGGCACGGGCAAGGAGAAGGATTCAGTGGTGGGATAAAAATTGCAGGAAGATGCTGCCGAGCACCATGGAAATGCAGTGATGCAAGTCCCAGGAATATACTGTCACTAAGCCCCCTCTTAACTGCTTGGCCAGAAGCTACAAGCAGGTGGCCATGATGGGGAGGAGATGGGCAAGGAGGGGACCGAGGCACAAGACCACCCTGCATCCCCCAGCCCGTAGATGCTGTGCGGAGATCCGCTCTCCCACAGACTGGGTTTGTGAGGGCACACACTCCCTGAGCTGGGTTTGGGGCTGAATATTAAGAAAACAGCATTATGATCAGGAATGAAGCAGGAGGACCCGTTGCAGCATGCGGGCAGAGGTGCTTCCCACCTGCAGCCCGGCAGAGCTGGTCTGCGGGCTTTGTGTGGTTTTATTTCAGCGTTAATGGGACCTTTCAGACGCAAAGCAGCCAGCTAAATGCAGGTGAATACGCTTGGTGTGCTCTCTCTTTCCTTCCAGCTGCAAAAGATGAAAGAGAAGAAAGGGCTCTATCCAGACAAGAGTGTCTACACCCAACAGATCGGTCCTGGCTTCTGTTTCGGGGCATTAGCGCTGATGCTGAGGTTCTTCTTTGAGGTACCTGTTTGCACACTCAATCACCCTGACTTTACAAGGTGTAAAGGACGTTACCAAGATAGGAGACCTCCCCCTTCACACCACTGGCTGCATGCAGCCTTGGACAAAACCCAGCTCACGTCTGGGTCTCCAGGGCTGGCGTGCAGGAATGAGGGTCCCCATCCCAGCCCCTGGCCTGTTAACTGTGGTGTTGGCAGGGAGCGATGTGACAGCAAGGGACACATCACAAGGGTGAGGCTTGCTCTCTTTTGCCCCTGTTAAGTGAGTCACAAGGGCACGGGCCATACCTTCTTCAGCTGCACATAGTCCTCAAAATGGCTTTGTCAAACGCAAGTGGGGTTTTTTGGAAACTGGGCATGGGTGACTTAAGGACACCTTGCAGAGCCACGGCAGGGACTGGATATGACCCAGGCATGGCCAGATCCAAAGCTGGCTCACGCCAAAAAAAGACTCCCAGTTGACTCCCAGGGGCACCGGATCCCATATTTATAAACTTTTGCTCTCACCGCTGGCCGGTCCGTCCGTCCTGCGCAGAAGGGTCTGTCCGTCCCGCGCGGGGAAGGCGATAACCCCCCGACACAGCTGCCGGTCACGCCCCCCCCCCCGCCGTTACGGCTGCTCTGTGCATTGGGAGCTGCTAGATACAACCTCACAGTCATCCCCAAGGATTATTTTTCAAAGCATTTAGTAATTGCAAATTCTAGCAGAACATAAAAATGTCACTTAGCAGAAACCGCCTCCCCCTGCGCCCCGGCCTCGCCGCCGCGTCCTTTGCGGGGTAATGAAACACTTCATTCAAGAATTGGGAAATGTGCAAATTGGAATGTGTTAAATCCACTTTGCTTTTTTTTTTTTTTTTTAAGGCTGGAAGTCCTTTCTTCTTTGACAGCAGAAAGAGGCAGAAGGCTCAGGAATCTGTTTTATTCCTTTCCTTTTGGCTACTTGCAGAAATCTAACGTTTTGCACCTAACGCGGAGCCCCCTCCGGCACCGCTGCTCCTGCGGCCCCGGCAGGTCTTGCTAATGCTCTCCTCGCTTGCAGGAGTGGGATTACACCTACGTGCACAGCTTCTACCATTGCGCCTTGGCCATGGCCTTCGTGCTGCTGCTGCCCAAGGAGAACAAGAAGGCCGGGAGCGGCGGGACCCCTGCCAGGCTCGACTGCTCCACGCTCTGCTGCTGTGTCTGAGCCGCCCGGGTGAGGAGGGCACTTGCTTTTCTGCTCTTGGGGTGATGCAAGCAGAAGCAAAATGCCTGCTGCTGCATTTTCCTCTGGGACACCGGCATCTTTTCCCACCAGCTCTGAGTCTTTGCTTCCCTGGAAAGTCTTCACCTTTCCACCATCAGCCCTAGCAAGTGTGGTGCTTCCAGTTTGCTACAGACCCGTACTTCTCCCTGGAGAGGCACTTGTCTGGGCTGCAACCCTCAGGAGATCTTTGCACCCTTGGGCCATGTCACCGCCCGGGCCGTCACCTGCACCCACCCAGGAGGACCCGAGTTGTCCCTCCGTGCAGGTTTGCCCAGCCTGAGCACACGAGGCTTCGTTTGCAATGCCCAATTAACGGAACCTGTATTTTGTGAGATATTTACTATTTTATTTATGCATTCTCTTGGTGTAAATAATATATACTAACAAAGACTTCGCAAGCATGCAACGCCAGCATTTCTTAAGCGGCACAAGAAACTTTCCAGCTCAGGTCCCACTCAGTCGAGGGCAGATGCCAGCTCCAAATCAGAGCTCTGGGCGCAGCCCCCGCCTCCCCTGCCCACAGCCCCCACTCCCGGCCTGGAGGGAGCTGCAACATTGGGCACTTTGTCCTTGCAGACCTGCCCGGGCGGCACAGGCAGCAGGTGCTCTCTCGGAGAGCCTCATTAATATGGAAAGTACATGGAAAATTAGAGGCAGAGAAGAGAAGCTCCTGGAGGGAGGGGGAGGGCTGTAAGCCTATAACATCTCCTCTAACAGACTATTTACTATAGCAGAAGTGTATGATTTATTTAGACTGTCTGGGAAAACCGCCAAGACTATATGTCATGGACAATTAGAGCAGTATTGATATACAGTGATGTCCACAGAAAGCCCACATAAAGCCTGGGTTCCTCTGGAAGAGAAATCCACCCTGGTCATTCATCAGAGCAACTTCCTGCGACGGGGCAACAAGCAAAACCGAATGAGCTTCCAACAAAAATATAAATGAATTATGAACCCCCAAGCATCCAAGAGTCACTGGCAAGCGGTGGCACAGCCGATGCAGCTGCACGCAGAGGCAGCGCTAGCAAAGCGGTTTCAAAGGCTTCACCAGCACCTACACCAACACAGCACACCAGGTCTTTTTGCAGCATCCAGCCCCCGGGATGTTTTGCAAGATGCTCTGAGGGTTTGCGTGCAACGCTTTCCCTGTTGCTTGCATGCTACTGGAGTACTTTGCCACGTGAGGATCGCTCAGGGCATCTGCAAAAAACAGTCCCAAGTTCTCTGACTCCTAATTCAGAGCTGAGTGCGAGAAGCACCTCGGCACCGTGTGCAAGAGCCGGTTCCGAGGGTGCACGGCCACTTCCCAGGGGGTCACCCACGTGGGTGTCCCATGGCCAGGGCCACACTGGCTCTTGCTGAACCACCCCGAGCACATCTTTGGGTGCAAATACTCAATGCTGACCCTCCCCAGGAGCCTGGCCAGCAGTGCCAGCAGCCTCCGGCCCTCCAACCTTCGCTGCTTGCTGCAGCCGCTGATCGGAGGCACCCTGATCCCCCCACCCCTGCCCATTTTGCAGCTGTACGGCCCCTCCTGGGCTGCAGTGACATGCATAACCCCGCAGCAAGCCCCAGCAGCTCATGGGCAGCATGGGCATGGGGAGAACCTTGTGCAGGTAAAGCACTGGGAGGAGAGGCGCTGGGTGACTGCACCACCTTACCGTGGCTGAGCAGGAGGGAAGCAAGGTTGGCAAACGCCGTGCAAACAAGGACGGCACGTCAGCTGAGGCCCAGCTGAGTAAATGAAAGCTCCTGCTCCCACCTGCCATGCATTCAGGTGTTACACAAGAAAAAAAAGCAAACCAAAAGTGTATTGCATGCAGTAAAATCCCAGGCAAGGTTTCCTTTTTCCCCCTCTGCCTGTTGATGCCCCAGGGTGCTGCTCCGACTGTGCAAACTGTCCATCACTTTGCACCCCAGTGCAGGACCAGCACCCACCCTCGGACTTGAAATGCAGCCGGGCACATCCGCAGGGTTCCTGCAGCACCAGCCCCACGCTAGCAGCAGCAGCAGCAGCACCCGCTGCAGCAGGACTGGGCACCCCAACACCCAGGAGGAAGGTGCACGGGCTGAATTCGCTCTCACTGGGGCAGGATATCCCCTGCAATACAAATGCAGTGAAATATTATAAACATTTACAGCAACGTAGACAAAACAGTCTCTTGTAACCTTTTAGCGCTGCCGAGAGCTTTGCCTGTAAGAGCTCTTGAGCCTCTGCCAAAAATTCTTGCTGTTTTCATAAGAGTAGGTGTTTTCGTCTAAGGTGCAGTCTGAGTGCTGTGACCTTTGTCATGTCTGCTACTGAAATTTCCTGCTTCTCTGTTATTCTCTTCTTTGGTAAGACGATATGAAACCCAAAACTTTTATTGCCCCTTTTAAAGCGTCTTTATAGCTCCCCGTCTACTTCATATACTGTCTTATTCTCGAACACTGGGATATTACTTATGGGATCTGGGCTTGATGCTGCAAAAGGCATTTGGGTTTCACGAAGCCCAAAACGCCTGGGCTTTTTTAAGATCAGCAGGAGGGGGGCGAAGAAAAAAAGAAAGAAAAAAGGAATGAGAAGGGAGAGACCAGGCTTTCCACTCTGGAGGCATCAGCATCTGCTACCAGCGCAGCGACAGAGAGCAGCGACAAGGGCGGGCAGGAGCCTGCCAGCCTCCCTCCTGCTCCACGATGCCTCCCCTGGCACAAAAATCCCATTTGCTTTGTGTCTGGGCTGCAGTGGCAACATGGGGTGCCCGCTGGCCCCGTGGGGATGGCATCGCGCGGCCTCTCTTCCTGCGCCTCCGTCCCCTGCCAGCTCTGCCCTGGAGCCGGCGGCTCGGATGCGCCCGGACACCGCTCCCGGTTCCAAATCCAGTGCGAGGGGGCTGGGACACACCTGCCCCGGAGCTGGCACTGAGGGAGGCCAGCCCTGCCCGCAGGGCTCCCGTGCACCCCGTTCCCCCGCTTGGTTTCGGCATCAGGACAGACCACGTGAAGGACGGGCGTCCCCAGGTGAGGGCTGATGCAAAGCCACAATGGCCAGACACCAGTGCCGGGGATTCCTGGTCCCATCCCAGGCCTTGGGCTGCGGGGGCATCACCTCCGCCGCACGCAGGGACCGCGGTGGCAGGGATCCGCTGGGATCTCGCTCGCCTCTGCACGCTCCACAGCATCCCACCACGGGAGGAGCAGGGACCCGGCATGCCGGAGGGGAGAGGGCTGGCTCTGGACCGCAGCCCCGCAGGGATCTTGCAGCAGGCACAGGGGCCAGCAGGCAGCGACGGGGTGGAACCGTCCCCTCCGGGGGACACACGTTCCCCCCCGCTTGCTTACAGCAGGGCCGGGATGAGAGGGGAATTAGGACCTACTCCTGCTCGAGGGGAGGCTTCCAGAGATGTCTAATGGGGCTCGGTGCCAGCTAATCTTCCAGGCAAACTTTATCCAGATCCCTTTGGCTGCAGAAAGTGAAAAACTAGCCAGACCAAAACATAAAAGCCTGGTTTCTGCTGCCAGCTGTATGGGGCACTCCAGAAAACGCCTTATCACCATGTGATTTTGAAAGACCGCTTCAGGGTTTTTTCCACACGCTGCTCTTCCCTCCTCACCCTCTCACCGTCATTCCTCCATGCACGTTCAAGTTGTGAGCCAGCCCGGCCAGCCCTGCCAGGTTACCTCACAGACCGTGGGGCCAGGTTTTTCCTTCTAACCATTTTTATGCCCTTCAGGCCACAGCAATGCTATCCTGCTTCAGAAAGTGCTGTTGCTCCATCCTGGGGCACACGCAGCTCATCGGGAGCAGTGATGGACAACCCAAGGAGATGCATCCACCAGGATTACGTCCTCCCTGGAAGAAGAAACCAAACTTCCCTGGAAATTCAAGAGTGGTGATTTCTTGTGCAGGTAGGGGCAAGAGCTCTGTGGAGAGCCCCAGGGAGAGGTCTTTCCCCGGTGTCCTCCATCACCCTCTGGTTCTGATGTGCAGGAGATGTCTGTGTCCTGTAACAGGGACAAACCAGGTCTGCAAGGGCAAAGGGGAGTCACCACCAATGTCCTACACAGACCCAGGGCTTCACAGCCATGGGGCATGGTACAGATGCACACTATGAGAAACCAGCCTCATCCATTAGCCTGGAAAAAAGGGAAGATGGAGCAACCAAAGCACTTATCTGGGATGACTTGGTATCTCTCAGCTTTGCTCCAGCTATCCCAGCCCCAAGGCACATCTTTTTCTGGTGCACGAAGAAGGTCTCCTGCAGTTCAGAGGAGTCAGGGGGCACCCAGGAAGAGCAGAGTGGGATTTGCCATGGCTGGTGCTGCTCTGCAGCAGCAGCACCTTTCTGCAGCAGTGCAGGATGGAGTTAGAGCAGATGCAACCATGGGGATCAGTAAGTGGTACCACCTGCATGGGTGCAAAGCAGCCTAACCCAGCACCAGCAAGAGAAAAAAATATTGATGCATCAGGATTTTGCTCAAAAAAATGCCATGCAGTGTCCTGGCAGGTCTCCTCCTCTTCCCTCTCAGCCTTTCAGCAAGATTTCCAACCAAATTTTCCAGCCCAGTTGGCACAGGCAGGGCAGCCCCATCCCAGCACCGCTCGGCAGCAACAGGGTATTTTCGGGGCACGGAGGGACTCATCTGCGATGCCGCACACAGGCTGAGCTGCTCCGTTCCCGGGGGGGTCGGGCAGGGAGCCCCTCGCACACTTGCAGGTGTCCGCTCCCCCTCCCCAGCAGCACCGGAGACGGACGCGGATGGTGGACTCAACCCAAGTGACCAAACCCCAGCAGAGTCCCCGGCCCAGGGAAGGGCAGATGCAGAGCAGCCGGGCTCGCTCGGCTCTTGCGGGGCTGCTTTCACAGCTGCAAAATCCCGCTCCAGGTCCAGGTTCAGTGTCTCCAGCCTCCCCACTCCTCCGGCGGAGCGGTCCCAGAGAGCGGCGGTCCAAGGTT